TGACTAACTTCTTTTCTTCCAGGCATGAGTCACCTGCTACAGAAAGTGGTTTCAGTCGCAGTTCTGAAAGTCTGTCACATTCCCCTGCTCCACGAGATCTCACTGGATTCATGATCTATCATTTGAGATTCTTAGAGTCCAACGAAGGGACATGCCCAGACAGTGTGACCAGTGGGGACAAGGAGATCCCTCAGACCAGTTGCCTCTGCAAGGTGCTACTGTCACCTCTCCCTTTTATTTCTTTTTGCTGTTTGCCTTTCCCAATACTGCTATATGGGTCCCAGTAATCATTGGTTTTCCGATTCCACCTCTCCAAAGGACAGACTGAATTGTTCTTAGGTCTGTCATCTGGAGAAAGCTTGGTTTGGGGGCTCCTTTCGTAGAGCTTTGACTGTACTGTTCCCTTTCTCTTTGTTTTTGGGAATATAACCCTGTGGGTGACAACTAGGGCCTATAGCTGCTTTAGCAGATATAGTAGCCACTACCTGCACCATGCAACTATTAGCATCTAACTGCAATGCCATAAAAAAGGAAATGAAACCTTTGTCAGCCACACTAGTCACATTTTAAAATGTCCTTAGCAGTTAAGCAGAGCTGGCAACTGTGGTCTTATACAGTGGAGATACCGAGTCATCTTATCATCATTAGTAGCTCTGTTTACCATGCTATTATAGGAGAAGTGCTTTTCAGGGACAGAGTGGAGTGGGGCCTAGAGAAGTCTTTACAGGAAAAAGTCAGGCATCCTGTCATCTCTGTATTCATTGGTCAAATTGACTGGGTCCGCTTGAAATGATTTCTTTTCTTCTAGTTGTTCTGTGCTCTCCACCCTCATTCTTCAGCCTGGTCTTATTTTGACCTTTTCTAAACTTAACCTCTCATTCCTGGACTCCTAAGTTTTAGACTCACCACTGAAACACCCACCTAATATCCCCACCTGGACATATCAAAGGTTACTTATCTTAATATCTCACAGTGTGTGCCTTATCTATCCTGTTGCACCTCTTCCCTGTCCTCATCTTGGCATATGGTACTTCTATATGCTCAGTCAGTGATCTTCAAACAATCCATGATCTTCCTTGGCCTCACTCAAATCTATTACCAGCTCTGCTTAAATTAATTAGTCCAAGAATTTCTTTAGCCATTTTTCTTTTAATTTCTAACATATCCTTTCTTTCACATTTCCCTGCTACCTATTAATTTTTCTGCTTATATTCTAACATTATTTTCTTAAGTAATCCTTAAGTGTCCTCTGATCACTTATGTAATAATTTGTTTAATCTGTTGTCCCTGCTCTGGATCAAAAAAGCAAGGGACACATGTTTTGTGTATTTGTTGTGTCTAGCACAGGGCTAAGCATTTAACTAACCCTCACTGAGTATTTATTGTGATCTTGGAACACAAAGTTATGGGTTCATGAGCTCATTGCTTGTCATTGTTCTTCGAGTATCATTGCATTCTTCCTGTGGCCTCTATAAGGATGGCAGCATGTCTTGGCTCCTCTCCTAAATGATGTGCCTTCAAAATTGGCATCTCATTTGCTTCCTGGTTCTAATAAGAGAATGCTCTTGGCGTCTAATTCACATGACTCCATCCAGGGCATCTCAAAGCCTCTTCTTCTGCCTTTTCCAGCTTGTCACCAAAACCTCTGCATTTTCTTGTTAGCCTTCCAGGTCCTCATAATTACTAGGAGCAGAATTCCCTATAGATTTGAGGAGCATGAACACACACATTCCTTCCTGGCCCAGAAGTCTCTCTCCTAGAGCTCCCAGACACTGCACCTTGCATTTCTATCTGATTCTTCCCATAGACTGTTATTTTCCAAAAAGCAAGGTCACTGAACTGTTTTGCTAGGACTGACACATTTTATGTATCTAAGTTTTAAACGAAGAAATACAATCCTAGACACTGGCAATCATTCTAACGTCTGACTGGCTCTCAATGACTATTAGGAGCCCTGAAAACTTAGAAATTCACTACTTCTTCCCTAGTGTGGAAGGACAAATCTTTATTTTCAGCTTAATATTGGAACATTAAAAACCCAGGATTGTTAAAACATTCCTGTATAATAAAAGAACTGCTACATGTATCAGCATAACCTATCTTAATATAATAATAAAAATAGCAGGTATTGGCATAAACACAGACACTTTGATCAATGAAGTTGAATTAAAGACACAGACATAAATCCACATAACTGAGGACACCAGATTTTTGATAAAGCCAGAAATACAATCTGAAAAAGAAGTTAGCATCTTCAACAAATGCTGCTGGTCAAACTGGATAGCTACATTTAAAGGAATGCAATATACTCATAACTATCACCCTGAACAAAACTCAGTTTTAAATGGATTCATCACCCCAATATAAAACCAGAAACAATGATGCTGCTAAAAAACAAAATAGAGAATAAACTTGAACTCATTGGCACAGGAAAAGACATTCTGAACAAACATCATTAGTACAGGCATTGAAAACAATACTTAATAAATGGGATCTCTTGAAACTAAAAGGTTTTTTTTTTATAGCAAAGGACATCATCATTTGGATAAAACTGAAGAATGGGAAAAGATTTTGACCACTGACTACATATACAGTAGAAGGCTGATTTGTAAAATATATAAAGAACTCAAATAACTGGGTATCAGGAAAACAAATAATTCAATAAAAATGGGGTACAGATATAAACAGATAATTCTTAAAAATGAAAACTTAGATGACTGAAAAACACTTAAATAGATGTTCAATATTGTTAGCTATCAGGGAAATGTATATTCAAATTTCTTTGAGAGATATTATCTTACACTTGTCAGAATGGCAAAACTGGTAAAAAAGAAAAAAAATAACCCATGCTGGTGTGGATGTGGAAAAAGGGAACATTTATCTGCTGATGGTCAGAGAGCAAACCAGTATAGCCATTAAGTTTTGGTTCCTCAGGATTCTGGTAATTGATCTGCCTCAAGATCCTGCTATACTGCTCTTGGATTTGTACGCAAAGAACTGTTCACCCTACTTCAGAAATACTTGCTCAGCCATGTTTATTGATGCTCTATTCATAATAACCAAAAACTGGTCACAACCTAGAAGTTCATCAACAGATGAATAGATAAACCAAATGTGGTACCTTTACATATTGGAGTATTCCTCAGCAACTAATTAAAAATAAACTCATGAAACTCACAGGTAAATTAATAGAACTAGAAATAATATCCCGAGGAAGGTAACCAAGACCCAGAAAGACAAACATACCATGTATTCAATTATATGTGGATGCTAGTTGTTAAGTCATTGATAATAAGTTATAATCTGTATCACCACAAAGGTTAGGTATAGAGTAAGGGACTGGCAGGAATGATGGGTCTTCTTAGGAACGGAAATAGATTAGATAGCTATAGATGGATTGCATTGTGGGAGGGGGAACATATAGAATGGAAGAACCAAATAGTGATGGGGAGGAAAGAGAGTGATGGGGATGGGGCAGCTAAAACTAAGGGCCATTTAGAGGAGTTGTAATGAAAACCTACCATACTAGAATCTTCCTAAGCCATACATTTATGAAGGTGTTCTAAAGAAAATCTCTAAGTAGTAGGGGAGACAGTGCCATAACTGGATATCTCTCTTCAACAAATGAAGATTCTTGTACAAGGAATGGGTTACATTGAATCAAGTTGTTAGAGAAACAGTTCCCGTGGGAAACCACAAACTATCTAAATGACTGCTAGTGCTGTTTGTTGCTCCTAGTATACTTATTGTAAGGTCCTACTGCTGAAGAAAACACTTACACATCAAATGTAGAGAAGTCAAGTATCTTTACCAAGATGTCTGGATTCTTTACCCATATCGCATAGTGTTCTAGTTTACATGGTATCAGACTGTACTGTGCATGTCATCAAAGGAGAAAAGTAAGCATCCATCCAGCTACAACCATTGATGATTTGAATCTACAATGGTGATTTGAATGCAAGTTGTGTTAGTGCAATAGTGGCACAACACTTGTGGGAATAATCAATCAATATCTGATTGGATTTATGGTCTATGCCACGAGAAGGAACCCACATCCTATAGTACTTGGATGGCCAAGAATCTGAGACAAGATAGCCCAGAGACCTAGGGAAAATCTAGATACTACTATCTGCTAAAGGAACATATCAATAAAATGGTTTTTAGCAATGGTCTGCTTTACTCAAGGTCAGTGTCTTCTCAGCCAGCATCATAGAAGCTTTCTCTAGCAGCAGGTGGGAACAAATACAGAGACCTTGTCATACTTAGCTCTAAATGTGACGTCCCCATCAAATATTTCTTTTCTCAGCATGGGGAACTCTGCACAAAAGGAGGTGGTTAGAATTCAAGAGATAGAAGGGATGTAGACACCAAGGAAACAAGGCCTTCTAAACATGCCTGATACACATAAAAACTCATGGAGACTGTGAGGCAGCATGCCCAGGGCCTGTACCAGATGGAGTCCCTGTGTTGAGAAGAAAAGTGGACACATGTCTTCATCCATCCCTAATCCAGAAGCTATCTCTAGTTGATAAGCACTTACAAATAAAAAGCTAGTTTTCCCCAAGCGAGTCTCACAGGGGAAATGAACTAGTCTTAAGTGTAGGTCATGCCCAGCAGTAGGCAGTCAATACAAAATAAACTCAAAGGTATCTCTGAAGATTCTTTGTCTCATAATGTTGAGTCAAGGCCTTTTTTCTAAATGGTGTAGATCCTTTGTGTACACATTATTGCCTCCAGTTTTGTGTTTCTATGGAATGCCGATGTGGGTGAGTGTGTGTGTGTCTCTGTGTCCACATGTGTTTCTTGTGTTTTTCTTTGGCTCTTTTCCTTTTTTTTACTTGTTTTGTTCTAGTCTGACTTGTTTTGTTTTATCTTACTGTATTTTACTTAATTTTATTATTTTCCCTTAGATGCCTGTTTGTTCTCTACAGGCATCTAAGGGAAAATAATAAAATTAAGAAAAAGTGTGGAGCTGGAGGGTGGCGAGGGACAGGGAACAGTTGAGGAAGGGAAACTGTAACGAGAACATATTGTATAAAAAATTATTTTCAATAGAAGGATAAAAATAAAATATAACTTCAACAGCAATAATCAAACTTCTCATAGATTACCCAATAATGTCTATTTTATTTGACACATCTCAGAGGGTTCTTTTATGTTTGTAGATATCAGTATTCAATTTGATCTTTAAAAACAATGGAATTTGAGTTAATGTTGATAAAACCAATGCACTATAAATATTCTATTTCCCAGAACATATGATAGGGCTGCCAATAAACAAAAATGTATTTTCTAGGAATTCAGAAATGAATACGGATCTGAGAATTTTAACTTTGTGCGGAACCAGAAGAGCCTGTGAGGGTATGAGCCATTTGGATATCTGTTGAGTTAGCAGGGGAGTAAAACTGTATGCATGTACACTTTAGGAGATGAAGTGAAATTTTTAATGCACTTACATTTAATGCTTTACATATAGTTTTCATGATGCTTTCTTTAAGCTATCTGAATTTACTATCACACACAGTATTTTTTATTCTTTTTTCCATTCCTACCCCTTGGTTAACACATTGGTTCATATTTCTGCTGATAATATTGATTTTTTTCATATAACACACATATTTCTGTACTTATTTATTCTCTAAGCTAGAAACAAGGGTTCCCTTAGCTCTTTGCAGCTTCAATTCTGTCTCTGACAGAATGCCATAAAGATCAATCCTTGACTGTAAGAGGCCCCTCTTTGTGGTCATAGTCTATGCTTCTTCACAGGGAGAAACCTCAACTGGTTCCCCGAGTGGGCAGCAGTGACCCACCAGCTGGTCCAGCCAGATACATATGGAAGGGCAGGGAAAAAAAGGGTGAGGATATGATGATCTTAATTTAAGGCCTAAAGGAAGAGAAAGGACAGGAACCTTAGGTGGGCAATATTAGAGGAGAATTCATAGAAAGGCTGACCGGGAGAAAGAAACACAGAAGAAGCCAAGATCACCAGCAAAGAGAGGGGAAGGAACAACCACTGCCTCAACTGTAAGGCAGGGAGCATGGAGGCCTGTGGGTAGGAGCCAGGCCTCTTAGCAATTGCCCATCTTGCTATTCCTGTTAGAAACGTTTGTGAAAGTACCTTGGTAATGTTGTACACCTTTTAAAGTTTCAATTCAGTTCTAAATAATTGAGCCATTTTCTTCAAAAGCAGTATTTATTTTTTATGAAGATAAGAAACATAATACGTTTCTATAGAGAACGCTGTGAGGAGAGGAGGGAGTGGGAACTGGGATTGATATGTAAAATGAAAAAATAGTTTGTTTTCATTTTTAAAAATAAAATAAAAAAGAAAAGAAAACACTGTGAGAGGAAAAGCTGCATGTTACTGATATGAAAAAAAAAACACCAAAGAAACCAAAACCAAACCAAACCAAAAACCATAAAACCCCCCACTTATGAGAGTGTTCTGCCCTATAAGAAGACATCGAGTGAACGGCATTATTCCAGGTGAGTGAGTTATGCAGACTGTATATTTATTAGTTTATTTTGAAATGCAATTTGTACAATGGTTTGTTTTTTATTCTCAGTCCTTTGATGGCAACGAAGCAAATTTATTTGCTACATGTTGGATGTGGAATAGATAAACAGAAAACCAAGAGAGAGTGTTTAGTAAGACTTTCAAGAAAGGGAAGGAGGCCTCGGTATATATGCCTGCTTATCCTGCAGCTAGTAAACAAGGGACAGCACGGCTTTACCTGGTTATCGCGGCCTGGAAGGTTTATTGAGAACTGCGTAGAGCACTCTAATGCTTGTGTTTACATCTATGTGTGAGCTGGGCGCTATACAGTGAGTGAGGTAAACTACAACTTCGTTTTGGTACAGGAAGTCGTTGCTTCACAGGAAACCTGTAAGTGGGCATGGAGGAAAAGTGGCCTGGGGCACTTCTCATGCTGGTCAGCCGACCAACACAGTATTTAATCCTGATGCTCATTGAGTAGAAACTGAACCTTCAGAAGACATGTGACAATAAGCACAGGTATGCTGGGCACGGCTGGCAACTTGGATTGGACAGCATCATACTTAGCTATGCAAGTATGTTTGAGCTGATCATCTAATGCTCCGGGCAGCAATGGATTCACAGAAGAAATCACTTCTCTTTTCTACTCCCAAGGCAGGATGATGAATGTAGTTCCCAGAGACTAGCCCAGGTGAACCTGACTTCAGTGTCCCCTCCTAAGTTTCTTGCTTTGGAGAGAGAGATGAATGACTTCTCGTTTCTGGACTCAGTCACGTTGGTGTAGACACAAGGGAACTACTGAGGGAAACTGACTCTCATTCCTAATAACCAATGCGTAAAGCTTTCCGGGGGAAAGCAGGGTAAGCGTGAGCCTCCACAGCCTCTAGCAGGTTCTACAGAACAGAGTCTGAAGATTGCAAAGGACAGGAAATCTCACATCTAATTTCCACTGATTCAGAATATGTATTCAGAATCTTAACTATAGAATTAGGAATTTATATAAATAAAAGTTATTTTGTTAACACATAAAAGCTTTTGGGCTATATTTCATAATGGCCTGTCTGATATAACATGATAAGCCCATGCATATGTATTGAAAACACAGAAACAAAAACAAAACAGAGAAAGACTGGCACAGTTTGGAGAATGTAGATCAATTTTTAAATGCAGACTGTATCTAATAGCCTATTCAATTCCCAGTTATGTCAATATTTGCTTATTTCCGACTTTCTATGACCCACATCTTCCTGTGAATGCCATGTTGAGAGGCTTAGGCATAATGGCATGCTATTCCTGAAAATACTTGCTTTTCTGCAGAAAAGAATCAAAAATTCTGCTGAAACCTATTGATTGCCTCACGAAGGACTATCACAACACTTCCTGAGCAATTCATAGAGAAGCATGCTCAATGAGCGAGCTTGCCTTGACAGAATACATAAAAGAGGACTTGATTTGATCCTTAACAACTGTGTATTATTTGGTGTTCTTTCGGAAAAAGAAAGATAATTACTGTCCGTATTTGTACGTGTGCAGTGCATCTCATGCAGAAAATATTTAAATATTTGCTTTTGCCCCTGGAAACTTTATTTTTGCCATGGAATTAAGATATACATAAGAATCTTTCATCTTTTGTTTAATGGACAAAAGCCTTCTTTAAGAGAGCAAGATCTGATATGTTTTGTGAAACATTTCAAAAAATTTATACTCTGAGTTTTTTAAAGAGATGTTTTACATGTTTGACACATTCCTTAATACAGCAAAATTATTGAGTAATAATCTAATCATTTGTCTCTGGAGGACCTCAGTAAATATACTGAATAAAATATTTCATCTATTTACACACATGGAGATAGACATGTATCTCAGGATACATACATATCTTCACATACTACTAATAAATGAATTCCTATATTTATGGATATAGAAGTTAATGGTATCTGTTTCTTGCCATGGCACCAACAAAGCGAGATTTCCACCTGTGTTCACTGCACTGCAGCTGAGAAGCAATTTTGGTTGCTTAGGGTGGGATGAGTCTGGACCTAAAGAGCTTTTTCTTCTTCATGGATAGATGTGCATGGTGTCTTATCGTGGTGGTCTTGAGCTGCAGACACAGTCACACCGCTCATGGTGATCCAACTGGATATCTATGAGAGCCATGTTCTTAGCTTTGCCTCTTCTCTTGAAATGGCCAGGCTCAAACTTTAATACCTAGAATAAGAAGCATATTTCCTATTAAAAAACCCATGGGGTTTAATTCAACCAGATGCCACCCGCCTGTTCCCCTTCTGATAACTAGTATGTGTGGTGATTTGAAGGAAAATAGGGAGTATCACTATTAAGAAGTGTGGATTATTGGAGTAGGTGTGGTCTTACTGAGGGAAGTGTGTCACTGTGAAGACAGGCTTTGACGTCTTATATGGCCAAGCTATGCCCAGTGTGGCACACAGTTTATTTCCTGTTGCCTGCAGACCAAGATGTAGAACTCTTAGCTCCTTCTCCAGCACTGTGTCTGCCTGCATGCCACCATGTCATTCCATGGTATCAAAGAACTAAACCTCTGAAACTGCAAGCCAACCCCAAATTAAATATTTTCCACAACAATGAGGACACTAAGGGAGACTTACATAGATCTAATCTACATGGAAGGTAGAAAAAGACAAGATCTCTTGAGTAAATTGGGAGCATGGGGACCTTTGGATAGGGTTGAAGAGGGGAGAGGAGGGGCAGGGAAGGGAGCAGAGAAAAATGTAGAGCTCAATAAAAATCAGTTTAAAAAAAAGAGTTGCCTTGGTTACTTGGTTTGGTGTCTCTTCAAAGCAATAGAAATCCTAACTAAGACAGTACACAAGCCTTTGAAAAGTCCAGTGAATGAGATAAAGTTGATGTAGAAATAAGCACATTAGATATTTCTACAAATAGCCATTGACCCCATAACCCCTCCCAGAATAATGTCCCTGTCTTTCTGACAGTAGGAAGATGTCTTCAGGTGTCTTAGTGGACAGTATTGATAGCCTCCTAAAGACCTAAGCTAAGCTAAGTACTGTAGAAATATATCATTGCTCTTCTTAGCAAAGCATGTGTTGTAAACAAATATAATGCTAAATATTTTAATTCCAAGGACAGGATGATAAGGTTTGAGCAGAATGCCAATATGAATAAATGCTAGATTAAAGCAAATCTCTCCTCCGCTCCCCCAGAGGGCCATTAGTGACTATTTAATGTGACTATATAATGCTTTCTACAATTCATAAGACTGAGCTACAACATAATACTTGCACACTAATATTTGTATATCATCATTGTGTTACTATACTCAATAAGTATATATAATAACTTTTTAAAATAAGTAAGTATAAAATAATTTTTATTCCTTTAAAATTATTTGTTATTACTGCTGTTTGCATGGTGTGTGTGAAAGAGTGTATGTGGTGTGTGTGTGTGTGTGTGTGAAAGAGTGTATGTGGTGTGTGTGAAAGAGTGTATGTGGTGTGTGTGTGTGTGTGAAAGAGTGTATGTGGTGTGTGTGTGTGTGTGAAAGAGTGTATGTGGTGTGTGTGTGAAAGAGTGTATGTGTTGTGTGTGTGTGTGAAAGAGTGTATGTGGTGTGTGTGTGTGTGTGTGTGTGAGTGTATGTGGTGTGTGTGTGTGTGTGTGTGTGTGTGAGTCAGCGGAGGTCAGAGGACAACTTTTGGGAGTTAATTCTCTCCTACTGTGGGTTTTGCAGGGATTGAATACTTTTGGCAGGCTTGCATAGAAAGTATTTATATCTCCCAAGCCATCTCCCGGGCCCCTAAAATAATTTTGCAGAGACTCTATGCCTTCTTGTCTGCTGTAGGCTTCACTGAGTCAAGCACTGTCCTGGGGATATACACTTGGTAACATCGCAAACTTGTCTTAGCCAGCTCATCCCTTCTCTTCTGTACGTAGACAGGTTTCCACCAGCCTGTATGTTCTAGTTGTTTCTTTCCTCACCATGATACTGACCAACAATTGTGCAGCATCTTGCAGTTTTCCAAAACTCTGCGCAGGTTTTCCCCATGTCTGGTCATTGTTTGTTACATGGTGGAGATGTATGGCTATGCATGATTTATTGATCAGACAGGAAAGTTTATAAGTTACGGAAGTCCTTCTTCTACAGTCTTCTGCAGAAGACTTCTGTAGGCTCTGAACCAGAATATTACCTCCTAGCTTTCAGAATGCTGACAACATGTCTCTCTCCGTTATACCTACTACTTCCTTCTGTATCTGAAGCTTTGCCTGGAGCTGAGTGTGAAGTTCAGTGGGAGCTCCTTATGCTTTGTTTGGTATACTTTGGACCTCACTGAAGATTACATGGGGCGGGGTGGGGAATTTACTTCAATGCCTGCATAACTTTCTTTGGCATCTCTACAATTCTACACTATGAATTGTGTTCTTAGACATTTTATTACTCTTACAGTGAGTGCTGAAAGTCTTAACCAAACCCAAAGCATGTATTAAGAACAACTATGTCAAGATTCCTTAGGACTGAGCCTCCCAGTCCACAGTCTTTGTTTCTTTAGCCTTTAGCAAAGCTTTTTGTTGGGCTCTCCAGCAAGGCAGAGTACAACCATTCTTTTTATGTTCATTCCATCAAGGGGCCTGGAGTTTGATTCAAAAGAAAGGTTTCAAAAACAAACAAACAACCACCACCACCAACAACAAAAAGGACCATGCTCCAGTAAGTTCAAATGACAATATCATAGATTGTATAATTTTCTCCTATGATACTACTACAATTACACATGCATAATCTGTGTCACACAATTCTGTATACATTTTTATGTCCTCTCTGGTAAATGGATTGTAAAAATAAAGATGATAAATATTATCTCTAGCATTAAGCATGTCCCAGATACCAAACCCTATTGTAACTGGCTTTGTAGGTATGAAATTATTCGGACTCCACCAGATGATAATAAGGCGTGCATTAAGAGAGGGATTAAGTTACTTGCTTGAAATCACGGAGCTTGTCAGTGAGAGTACCAGAACGCAATCAGCTCCAGGCGGCCTACGTAGGTCCTTAAGCACAGAAGATTTGGCTTGTGCTTCTAAGCAGCATGTTGGCTGCAAAGCAGATCCTGAAAGACATATCTTGGTGAAGGTGATGTGTGGAAATATATGGATAATTTTCTTTCTTTCACGTCTTCCCTGTGATCTAGCCTCCAACAAACACAGGAGGCAATATGGAAACAATCAGGTCAATTCAATACAGAAAGAAAAAGGTCTTGTTCTTCTATGAAAATCCATGTAATACATGAACTTTGGGGTATCAACTATTCCTGCTGACAACAAATAGGAAAACTCTGCCCTATTTAGTAAGAAGGTTCCGGACAGGACTGGGTTGGATCCTTGTAGCATCACCAAGAATTTCTCCAGTATATTTTCCTTACTATTGTCCCAGACCATCTGCATGTAAGCAGGATGAGGGGTTACTGGGGAGTGACATGATTCCTAAGAAGCGGAGCTTCCTAAGTATTTGTTTACAGTAGACCATTATTAAGCTCTGATAATTTCCAGTGTCAGGCACCTGGAACAGCAGTCTTCTGTTGGTTGTTTCCCATTTGATGGCAAACAAAGTGAATGTTTGTTATAAGAGTCTGGACAGGTTTTCTAGTTGGTCTGATTCTCCAGGGATTTTCCCCTTTTTTAAATAATAAGCTAGAAGAGCACAATATTTATGTGCTTTGCTGCTAAGAAAAGAAAATGAATTGACAGACACTTTCTCCAGATAAGTCAGAAAAGCACTATTTGAACAAAGTGGAAATTGAACTGCTTTAATGGCTGATCCCAGCACTCATGTTCAAAGCTTTCAGACCATGTAATAGTTTTAAGTCCGGTACATGGTATTAAAAAAAAAATGAAGAAAGCAAGGCTGATTGGAGGAAGCATGGAAAGTTAAAAGAAAAATGAAAAACTCTTATCAGCAAGAGCAAACTGGTAGGTTACGGGTTACCTGGCCATCTTTAAAGAGAAGTGACCGCTGAATTAATGACAGCAGCCAAAGGAACTTGGTAATGGTACAATCATAAAATGCTTTCCTATTTTCCCAGCTATCATTCACAGCTGCACGTATTCAGCTGAAATGAAAATCCACCAAGCTGCAGCCAGCTACAGTTCAGCACCTACGGGCAAAATTGGAAATCTTTACTCCTTTTCATTGTCTGAAAAAACCATGTGAAGCCCAGAAAATTGGCATCTACCAAATGGAAAGTGACAGACCCAGTCGATGACTTTTATGCCAAGCTTTATTAATTACCAGTGTCATAATCCCACAAGATGTTTGACTACTATCCTGTGCCTTATTGCCAATAAACCAGTGAATGAGTCATGGCTATAAGGCACTAATAAAATAATACCAGGCAGAAAAAGCTATTTGCTGACTTGAGCTCTTGTTTATTGGGAATATAAAAAAAGTTGTTAAAACCTTGTAACAGTTCCCAAATTAATGGCTGGCATAGAAATACAAGTACATATTTCAGAGCAAATGTTTTATATAAACCTGAATCATTAAGAGTTTATTTAATATTTTACCTAACTTTGAAAACAAGCAGTATTCAATGCAGAAATTTAGTTCCTTAAGAAACAAATAAAGTCCTATTTTTGCTTCTCTATTGCCTTTTCTCACGTGTAAAAATTTCATATGAATATAGAGATTCACACAGTCTTAGGGATGGAGGTGAATTACTCTGAAACTCGAGTGTCTAAGGAAAGCTATTGGGAAGAGGAATTATGTTTTTTTTCTCTGGGTAGTGACTCAGCAGAGCCTGGGCAGTGCGTGTGAATCACTGAACTGTGTCTAAGGGACAGTACTACCAAAGAAAGACAGTGTCGAAGAACAGCTTAAATGATACACAGAAAAGATTGAAGGTGACAGAGACCTGGGTTACAGTGACAGTTTAGGAAATGCTCATGACTTCTGAAAAGGCAATTTTGACATCTGTGGATATTTGTTTCAAATAAAAACTATACATGAGCATGCCAGAATTACCATGAGGACCTTTGTATAATTAAATGGCAAAACTATCTTAATAGCAATTTAGAGGAACCCTGTAAACATATTTAGCCTCTCTGCTGCAGAAAAACATGGGAGCTGTCGTGCATGGAGTTCTAGAACAACTCATGTGTCTGTTAAAACACAGGTGGGACTTGTTGGTTCTGAGAGTGTTGTATCCCTTACATGTTTGCTA